GATCACACGGCGTCCAGTACCGTACCAGTGTGATACGTTTACACTATACACACATCAAAATCACTATCAAAGAAAACCGTACCATGGATAACGTTTGTGTGTGTTTATGTTAATCGGTTTTCAGTGATCGTCTACGACTAAATAATACTATGTAATTGGGACGTCAAAAATCTCGGATGGCGTGAATTCGATTCCCTCGTCCGCGTGAGCGTCAATGAATATTTAACAACTCTTCTCCCCTTCCCTATTATGTGCTGAGCGCGGACCACAGTCCGATGAGGTGGTGATTTTGCATCCGTGAAATTATCACAAAGAAACTACGGACCGGGCTTTTGATGTGCTCGACTTCGATTAAAATCGCGTTATTATTAAATCCCGGGCGACGGGCTCGCCTCGATGCGACAAAAGGTTGCTACCCGTACCGGCGGGTTTTGAAACGTAAAACGCGCGCGCCCCGGACAAAGGTCACACGAGCTACGGTCTGTAGACCGCAGCGCCGTTTGACATCTCTTGTTTTCGGTGCAGAAACCCCCCGCGGAACGAACGGGACCGGACATCAAAGCTCGAAGAGTCGGATTGCTATGACCACCGCCACCAACTGAGTTTTGAGTTAAGTGAATGCACGTAAACACATACACATACACGCACACGCGCACAATAACGCAAATAGTTGTAGGTTTCCGTGGAACGCATACACGCCAAAGTGTAACCCAACAACAATAGTAATAATAACATTGTAATAGTTGAGCACGACGCCGTTCCAAACTCTACGGTACCGGGTTAGACGCATCCAGTAGTACCGGCGTGTGCGGTTGATTGCCTACGCGTGATGCCTTGTGCATTTGTGTGAGTGTTATACCACCCGACGTGACGGACTTGCAACGGATATACTTCCGAGATTTACTCGTGTGCGTCGAAAACACGGACAGCGGTAAGGTTACGTACTTCCCCTGCTCACTTTGGTGCGATTTTACCCGCCCCGACCTTCGTTTGAAGTACGAGGGTTATATTATTATTATTATTATTATTACCGTCGTGGTATACGCGAGGCGTTTGGTTATGATGCGCTGTGCGTGCCAAGCCCGGTAATGATGATTCATGTTTGAATATTTGCGGCAGTTAAGTCTCTTCGAACGATAATATAAACTTTCTTACCCCGCCACCAAGGCTCGATCAAGTTGACGGTGGCATTAAAAGTACGCGACGTTCGATGTGTACGTGACTTGCGAGCGGAAGTGGATTTTTAGATGTCACGCGGCCGACCGGAAACGCCTGTGAAACGTAACTAGACACCCCCTCAAGAAGTCTTCCCTCCTCTCCGTCAGTAATCGACTCTGGTGTGTTAATTGCGAATGCTACCGGAATGTATAAAATCGATATTTATAATAAAAACGCAAATTTGCCATTAAATATAGCATTGGTGTGGCGCCGCAATTCTAGAAATTACTAAATGCACTTTAGGATAGTGAGTCAGTGAGTATTACGATATAATACCTATATCATTGATACATTATGAGAGATGAAATTTAAGGAGACTCTAATGATCGCATAACAGTAGCAATTCGATACAAAAACTGAGTCCATTGTTATAGTATACGATTGATTCAGCGAGATCAGTACTATAAACATTAATTTAATGCTTTTCCAGTCCCGACTCACGGACTACGGCGTATACTATTACTGAGTATATAATATAATAATATCTACGATGAGTTTTCCTTATATCAACAACAATGTATAAATATGAGGTGGGTATTATTCGATAAACGACGATGACCAATAATATTATTATAAAAGTCATATATTCAAATGGCCAAGTAGATAGAATTACTTCTATAGTATAAAAAAATCGACGGCGAATTATTATACTGCTCATACGAGGATACACGAATATCGGAAACTTTATTTTTCAAATTTTTCAGTGTTTTTTTTGTAATCGCATCGTCGATATCGATAATATATTATTTTTTTTATTTAAACATTGAAATAAAAGCCAACAGCTATATGCTTTTAAGTTATAAGTATACTCTGGTATAACATACCAGTTTAATGATTGCCTATGAATTAATATGATACGTTTTATCGCCGTATTAATATCTGGAAATTACTGTGTACAATAATAATTACTAGCTATAGAAAAGAGGGTCAGGAATTTTACCCCTCGGACGAAACGAAAAAAAAATGTCGGCATAATACGTTCACCATCGTCAACAGAATATTATATTATATAAAAACACAGTGGAAACGGTTTTTAATAAAAGAAATTTCGGTGTTTCGGACCAAACCGCCGGGGATTCATAGTGGCGGGGGAGGGGTACTTTAATTACATTTATTGCATTCCACACCCGAAGGAAAAAATATTGATGGCTACGTACACGGCAATATGAACGACGGATGGCTTCCAATCTCCCTTCCATTGTCTTCGGTTAATTACGGGGAAGCGCGGAAGAAAAGGGTTAAACACGAGGCCCGTTGTTATTATTAAAACGTTTCCATATCTCTTTTTGATCTCTACTTTTAGCCACCACCACCCAACACCCCTCTCCACGAACTCCCTTACCGACATTTTTATGTAATAATAATTGTTTCATATTTGACGTAATACGACCAACACGAAAATATCAATATCCTCCTTCAACGCCCGCCACACTACTCACGCACGCGGCTCAGAGTTAATTATTACGAATATATGGGGCGATGGCTGCTTGGTATTTATGCTGTAGAAATGGAAAAGAAAAAATGTTATGGTCCGCCTGAAGCGGAAACGACCTTTGGAAATGTCAGTGGCGGCTAGTAGTAATAATACAACGTAAGAAAAGGGTATTTAAATATATATAAATATATACATATACAGCTTACGTATACACAGACGGTTTATAGTGATCATTGGCTTTTCTTGACAATGGTTATTATACGGTATGGTTTCTATTGTCAGTGTATGTATACAAGACATTGAAACGTACGCCCCTTTGGTAGTAAAACAAAAGGCCACCAACTCACGACTGATTCACAAGAGCATTTACGAGGGTGTAATTTCTTTTTATTCAGAAACGTAAATATCAATTATCTAATTAAAACTTAATACCGCCGAACAATAAACTGCGTCAACGATGTTAAAATCGTTTGAGGAATTACGTAGTAACGGTTTCTGTATAATATAGAACTACAGAGTATCACAGTAGCTAAGAACAGTGGAGCCGTGAGAAGTAAAATATTTTAGTTAAAAAAAAAATATTTAATAAAGTTTATTGCGTAGTTATAATTTTATAACATTATTTTAAAATAGCATCCTTTAAAACTTTTAAATTAAAGTTACCAGTGATATTTGATTTTATAACTGCCAACATTTCCTGTCTTACAAATAATTAATGTAACATAATTAATGTTATTTTTATTGTTTATTATTTTTTAATAGTTAAATTTAAAGTTCTTTTGCACAAAAATTATAAAGTATAGTATATTGATTTACTATGTATGAGGTTGTTTATGTTGCCCCAACTACCAGACACAGCGTTTTCTAATAATAATATTCAAGGGACTAAAGCGAATAGGAGACGGATTAATGTTTGGCATCGTTAGCACACGGCCAATGTTGCCAATCAACTATGTCTCTGTCAATTGTCCAATCAGCGGCGAGTGATTTATGCGCTCCCGCCGCCCCTTTGGGATCTAATTAGCGTTTAATTCTTCTGAGAGATGATCGTCGCCGGCGTCGTCGTAGCCCACTCAGACGTTTCCTTAATGAAACCCTCTTCACCTCTTACCATCATTCTTCGATCGTTCTCCTCGTCCCCTTGTCACTTGGTTCAGTACTGTTCGTCGGATAGTCGTGTATAATAACACGCGAGAAAGGATGAGAGAGTGCAGAGGTGGATTCGGAATTCAAGACAAATGAACAGGAAACTATCGATCGGCCAATTAAACCTAATCAGTCGGTGTACATTACGTTTGAAGCAAAAGAGGCAAGTTTAAGAGAGAAAGAGAGGGATTGAGAAAATAAAATACAAAACACACAGAGACTTCTGATGAAGGTGGATAAAGGGCAGCCAACTGTCCTCATAAGAGTACAGTGCACCACACTTATAAGGGACTAACCCGAGATCTATTGTCAATAAATATATATAGATAGATATATAATAAGCCTAAAAGCTTCTGTCTAACTCCCTCGCGTATTGCGAAGAATCGGGTTACGCGCGCATTTCAGGTGAAAGAAAAATCGAAATGATTTTTTTTTTTCTCAATGGTTATGTTTAGTTCTTGACCAGTATGAAACTCGATACGACCAATAGACTAAATGGACTGGTCAATATAGTGTATGTGTATATATAAATAAAGAAAGAAGCTTTTGGGTAGTCCGCACAAATGGAGACGATACGTATACGTTTACACACTGTCAACCGATTCGGAAATCCGTATGGGGAAATCCCGGTGGCCCGTTAGTTTTATTTTATGCTAATGCGCGAATGAGAGACACCCCCTCATTGTTGTTGTAACACTATATATACACCTTTCGATCGTGAGATATTATATTTCTCAAGTATATATAATTTTTTTATGTTCGCACACATATACAAAATAAATATAATATCATATATTATATATATGTACATGTTGTACACCATGCGTGTGTGGAAGTGAAGTTTTTGTGTCAAACAGACGGTCAGTCAAGGTTAATCGAATATACGTATTTTAAATGTGTATGTGTGCGTGTTGTGTATTATATGTGTGTGCATCTGTAAATTAGCAGCGCGTGTAACTTAATATTAAACAGGATACTCAAATTTATTGTTCATCAGTACGATTCTGAGTTTTTGACCACCCTCAACGAATTTGTCGGTATTGGGACACGAAAGCGAGTAACCGCACACCCCGCAGGGTGTATTTTAGTGGAAATATTTTACAAGTTATTCAAGAAACAAAAAGCAAAAAAAAAGGGGTGCAGAGTACTTGTGTAAATAATAAACGGAAAATGAGATTTCAAGTACAAAAACATCACTTACCTCGCAGTTTTTGGGCGTCGACCAACTGTCGTTCTAGACTTCCTTTGACTTCCCTTTCACGAAGCACATCCATTTTCAACTCGGCTGCAATAAAACAAAAAAACCGATTGAGTTTTATAAGTGAATTATTCGAGTATTATAATAATTATCATATTATTAAACGCGCTGACAACGATTTTCTCAACAATGTCGCGTACATAATATATACGGTATAAGAGTGATACCAATAAGACACCGCTGCAGCACCGTACTTTACCATCACTATAATAATAATAATAATAATAACAACAATAACAATAATAATATATATACCAACTGTAACACACACCACATACGCACACATTCACATATATGCACGCCGTGTATGCATAAATCCACATAACATATATTTATGTACTATATATAGACTATGTATGTGTGTGTGTGTGTGTGTGTGTGCGCGCGCGCGAGAGGATCTATCGATGGCTTGCGGGAAAACGTTGTGTTAATCCCGATTTGAAGGGTCGTGTCGGTTAGTCACCCAAGGCTGTTTGCTCGTGTACGGCCACTCGAGAATATATATATATATACGTATCTAGGTAATATGTATGCATGTATATATAAATATACACAGTGCATATTTATACTAACATAACACTCGGGGAAAATACAAGAAGCGCCCGTTAGCGTTTTGAATAACTTTTGCCGGAGTTTCCGCCCACCGTCGCCAATTCACCATAGAGTACACAACGCAAAACAACACCTGAGGAAAACTTAAGTCATTTCCTTATCCCTGTTCCACTGATATTTTCTTTTCTTTTACGAAATATAATAATAATATATAGAAGACAATGTTATCGGTTTTGATAATTTGGTTAAGTCACCGGCCGACCCACCGCCGCGACCACCTCGTCACGGTTTCTGGTCCATTAATTTCCTCGGCCGGACAATTTAATATTATAATATTTACAAACGAAGTGTCGTGGCGCGTCTTTTTATCGGTTCATAACTCTTAGAGCGATATTAAACACAAGCGCGCGTCGCGCGTCTGTTGTTTTAGTTGATATTAAATTTTCGAAAGGCCTCGATAAGAAATAATATATATAACGCACATAATATGATATAAGTAACAATATGGTTAATGAAAAAATGCGACGACTACGACGATGACAAACTCCGTCTCATAAATTTGCTACAACGGGATAACGTGGAAATAATAAGTAATAACGCAAGATATCTTCCATGGTGGATGCTCAACATTATTATAATAGGTAATAATATTTTGTCCACATTTAAAAAACTAAAATAAACACAGTAAAATAATATGGCAATTGGCTTAGAAACGATTCGTTCTTGGAAGTACCTACATCATTTCTCAACTATATTTAAATTTCTGCATTTATTTTATGTTTTTTGTAAAATCATTAAATTGAACGTTAATCATAGTAAATCGAATTAAAAACGTTCTTAATCGTGTGTATCCCACACCACACGGAACAAGTGGTACCTACAAAAGTGTATAATATAAGTGGAATAAATATACGGCAGAATATATTAGTATTGAAGAATTTTGGAAATCAATAATATTATTATATGCATTGCGATTTGAAAAATATTCCAAATGATTCAAAATTAATGATCTTAATGGCCAATTTATTAAAAATCTACGATTGTAAACACGATTTGATGATATGAAATGTGAGTACCTTACATACAAGAAAACTCACTCCAAATTCGCATCGGGGCACTAACATTTGTCTGAAATCACTATTCAATTTTCATGAAACTATGAATGGATAAAACTTATATTTTAAACATTTATTAATTAACATCTTACGAGTTGACTCACGTGTCTCTGTCTGGTAAACTCAAAAAATATGATTTCGTAAACCTATAATTTAGCAAATGTCTTACTATGCACATAGAAACGTCGATGATTTTCTATCATATATTATTGCATGATACGCTGCACGTTACCCGTGTCGCAGGATATTTTGTGAGTGTTATTATTTGGTGGCATTAAAGAAACAGAACGCGCTTCGCGCCCATAGGACCTATATATTATTATTATAATATACACTCGCTCACCCGCACCGGCGGAGCAGGATAACACGCGTATACATTACATTTTGTATCGATATTCGTATGATATATATAACGCATATATCACGAGGATAGACGTAAGGAAATCGCACACAAACACACACATATTATATTATATTTACGCATTAAACCTGTCTTACAAGAAATATATTACTATATGGAATATTGTGTTGCAGTTGCAGTGTTCCCGGTTCCGCGCAATAACAACGATCGAGTGCACTACGTATAATACGTATACATCTGTTACAGGTAGTCCGGATCACGGGCGGACGAGGTATCCATTATAAAAATACAGAGTTTTATATCGTGTGTACTTAAACTTCGCACATAATATATTATGCACATAGCTAGTGTATAGGTGTCTAGCGCAGTCCTCCAAGAGACGCCTTCGTGTGAGGCCGACGAGATATATTTTATCGAGCGCGAAAAAACGTGTCGGCAAAGTCATTACACGACGATACGCCGTTACACATCACTTAGATGTAATTCGCGTGTGTGTGCGTGCGTAGACGCGTGTACGTGTGTGCCGTATAAGTGAATATCGTTGTCGTATTTTGCTGCCGTGAGTCGCTTGTAGCTCACACATAATAATATATTATATTGTATAAAAAAAAAAAAAACCCACACACGCGTGTCGATATAACGCGATCGCGGACTCAGTCATAGTCGGTCGGCCGCGTGCGGACTGCATACCGCTATACAGTGAATGTCATTATATTGGTATATTATAGTACTATTTTACAGACATAGTAAATTTATTTCTAGGAAAGCAGAACGACATATTTTTTTTTAATTTGTAGTGTTATGAGAGGAGGGGGTATCGGATCCGTTTAGCGTTTATAAAATATATTCTGCCAACGTTCGGGACACCTCGCTCAAATTCTGTATTTACCTTGAAAGCGGAAAAAAACGGTTTTGTTATAAATTGTGATGTCAGATATACATAGAATACAGAAGATATATTATTATTATCTATACGAAAGATTTTTCAAAAGTGATTTCTGCGCAACGTAACAATAATCATCTTCCTGTTGCGGTTGCGGTACGAGTTTACCTATATGATAGATAACCTATGAAAGTATTACAATGTACTTAACAGCAGTTAGAATCTTTTTTTTTTTCTAATGGAAAATTTACAATATTTCTGATTGTATTCAAAATATTTCCAGCATGGTTAAAACACCCGATAAATAATGGTAGTCAAACGAATAGAATAAAGACAGTCCTAAAATGTATGTATATAGAGAAGTATTTGTTTTTAAAAATTAGAGAAATTCGTGATGGTCCCGAAAAATGTTTGACGACACTGTATTCTTACGGATCGGGTGGGGTGAGGGTGTATAACCACATTTGCTTGAAGAGGATTGTATAACGTTACTTTGATAATATGATTTTCATAGTGCCTATAAATATACCCATACACATATGATTTCATGATAATGTATAATTTTAAGGATTACGCGTGTTGACGACGGAAAATGGCTCGACAATGTTATCGATGATTTTTTTCCCAATTATTTCTCCTGTTACATCATTTCAACATAATCTACACGAGTTATTGACGTACTCTATCTCGTAAGTATACACCGGCGCACGCGCTTGTTTTTGCCCCGAAACTAGCCGGCTCGCGCGACACGCAAACTCCCGCGGCAGATCGTCGACCGGTGAAATTATATACACACACACATAAACACGAGTCGATACATATTATAGTATTAATGTAATTTCGACGTGTGTGTGATATATGGACGATGTGTTTGGGTTCTATGACGGGTGCCTAATACGAACGCGTTTACCTACACAACGCACGTGTTTCATATATATATAAACGATAATAAGCCCTAATTTCGACTCGGCGGGCCTCGGAGCGTACATTTGTTTACGGAGTAATCGTTCATTCGATGTATTTTTTTTTTGGTTGTTCTTCATTCGGTTATTATATCATAATATTATATTATAAATCGTATTTTCGTGCCTCGGGTTCCGTGCGCGCACTGCAGCAATCACAATATAATACGGCCGTCGACCGAATTAAATGGCATTTCGTGAAGACGATAGACGGCGCATTCTATCCTCTGCAGCTCTGGCCCAGTATTTTCGACCAAAAACGGTGGGCGTTCCCGGACAAAATGAAATGGGACTGCGCTATAATGTGTGTCTGTCCGTGTGTACGTCGGCTTGTGTGTGTGTTAAGTATACGTTTCAGAAATTGATTGAAGCCCGCGCGGGAATTGTTGTTATTTAAACGCGCACGGAATTATATTTACTATAAACAGACGAAACGAAAAGAAAAAAAACAAGAATATATGTATATATAAAATATATATACTCGAAAATCACACACATACACACTAAGAACATACGCAGGTGGTGGTGATGAGGTGTCTTTTTACGTCTGTCCGTTTCGGTATAATTTCATATGTAATTTAATGAAAACGGTCGTTTTTCAAAACGATAATTTGTACGAATGATCCATTACACCCGGGCCAGGCGTATCACCGCAGCAGCGGAGGGGAGGGGAACGGCATGTTCCGTCAATAAGGACGTTGAGAAGGAATGGGGGAGGGGGGCAAAAACCATTGCGTCCCATGAGAGCCGGCAGAACACGACTCTTAAAGGTCAGTTCGTGATGGGAATAAGTGGTACGAGTGGCCAATTATACAAGTGTATGCCACACCACGCGGAGTGCGGTCCAAACATACATACACCGACGTACAATAATAATTTATACGCGCGCGCGGCAATGAAATTGTTTTTTTTATTATTATTATTTCGTGTCTTTATTTATCTCTATCTCTCTCTCCTACTCTTACTATCTTTATCTATCCACTGCGTCAGGTAGATAAGGCGGAGTTGAAATAACAGTATTCCGCGACGATTAATTTATCGCGTTATTACTATTGCGACGGCGGGCGGGCGAGTTTTGATTTTTTTTTCCGACTGGGCGTAATTAAAACGGATCCGGTTGATTTTACACGATCGTGTCAACCATCACGCAGATTTCACGTTTGTATCATTTAACAGTGTGTCGGCAATGATTATTGCTCTTGTTCGGCGATTTTATAATTATAACGCTGTAGCCGCGGCACTGTTGGATCTATCGTGAACGACGTTTAAGTCACTGAGCCCCACAAAACCTGTCTCCACGTTGGTTCAGTTTGTTGTATTGGTGTGTGTTTGTTTTGTCGTTTGTGTTCTCCGGCACGAGGAGTCGATCTTACTCAAACTCTAAACAGCTGTAATACGATTTCTGACCGGTCACTAATTCTTCTAAGGCTATTAGACGCGTTTACCGTGGTCTTAAATATCCTATTTGACGACTGACCGAGAAATATACGAGCAAGTAATAGTATTGACACAACATAAAATTATAATGTATATAGAGATAGTATTTATGTTATTCAACCGGTTATGGGTCTCACGAAATGGTCGGTCAAATTCTGCGTCGTTTTATGATATTTATGAAATATCACAAATATTACAATCTACATTATGTATGTCGAGCTTAATAAAAATATCTATCTACATTGCAATACAAAAAATACTATAAATTAAAATTTCGCGGGCCCATAAAGTTGACGAGAGGTGTGCGTGCATTTATCCTAAAATGTCATTTTTAACAACATTATGTTAAGTAACCTAGGCGGGCTGGGACATGAAAAAAAAATTACAATAGAAGTCACGGCATAATAGATCGATACATCGATTCCGATTTTTTGAGAAAATAATTCTTTATAATTCTCTAGAAGAACGATCGTGTACAACAAATAGAATGTATGGATATATTGTTAGATTTTTGAGAAATTATACAATAATAAATTTATAATGGTTATATATTCGTGAAAAATATGAAAAGCAATGGTCTACTTACGTATATCGGCACATAGACCGGTAAACAAAATTCGACTTAGAAACATATAATATATTTGAATATCTGTATAAAATAATTCAATACAAAACTTTGTAAGGGCTATAAATGGCGTTCTCTCCGAAAATGCTGACTAATATCTTATAATATATATATATGGTTAAGCCTCTTAAATAATTTTTTTTGTTGCTTACGTATGCCTTATTTTCAGCAAAACTCTATTTTATTTTACTGACATATAAATATATAATATATTGTCCAAGTTCTCACCTTTTTCAAAGTTCAACGCGCGGTCGTCATCTCGGATCTTGTCAGCGGCAGCCTTAAGTAGAGCTTGTATCTTCCGAAGTAGTGACTCAGTGGTCATGTACGGCAAACCCATATCCCCAGAACCGGTGGAACCAAAGTTCAATGCCTGGGGTGGGGGCGTGACGCTACCGTGCGCGCTGCTATTGCCTCCCACGTCCGGATTGTCGCTGAGGTCTGAACACGTTAAAACAAAAACAAATAAATAAAATATCTCATAAATGTATTGTACTTTGTTTATACTGTTATAGGTGCTATTATTATTTGATTAATTTAATTATTTAAATCGACATTTTTGAAACCTACACCCGGTGAAAAATAATAACGGTCACGGGCGTTTACTCGTACGCCAGACGTCGTTATTGGCGTTGACGATTTAAAATTACCCTTTGTATAATGTACGACGCACATATATTATATTATCGCTTGTATAGTATATAATCGATATTGTGGTCATATAACGTATACAAATAACACAATCCAATGTATACAATGTCATACAAAACTAATAATTTTAATTGAACCCAAACGTACGTGATAATACAATATCCTATAAAAAGGTATTCCCATCTCGAATTACACCACCGCCTCACTACCACTATCACTGCTATAACCACAATACACACCAGCTTCCCTACAATCCACTTTTCACTTTATTATACCGACATGATGGTTTTATATTGTGTCAAAGATGCACTCGAGTAGAACGTTCTCCGTTTTGATATTATTGTTTCCAATGGTTTGTGTATAATTCGTTATTTTTTTCCGTCTGAACAATTATATTTGGTATACCCACATCTAATATCTTATATAGTTACATCATATAGTTGAAGTATAAAGTGAATTGAGTTAAAAAAAAAAAAAAAAAATGATATTTTTTACCGTTCGAAAACATTGTTTCATATATATAATAATATTATACCGTGATCTTTGATGTCGTCTTCTTCGCCGTCGGAAATGTTATCGTCGTCTTCGTCCAAATCGTCTTCATCGTCGACGTTTGTGTTGCCGCCAGCCGAATGATCACTGGCCGGTCCCGAATGATCGCCTCCCGTTTTGGACAGATTCAACACCGGGCTATGTCCTTCGGACGAACCTGCAACATAATGAAAACATTGCATTACTGTAATCTGTTTAGGAGACTAATAATTGGTGGTACTTATGTACAATATTATAGCTACACTTGATACCTAGTTTTATTATATTATTATAAAATTAACTTACCATTTTGTGATGTCAAATCCCTTGCTTTCTGATCAAAATTTAGCGCTCGATTTATGTCGCCCACCCGTTCGTCGTTGGCTCTACAAAAACGAAAAAAATCAAACAAAAAATTAAAAAAATAAATTCATAATAATATTAAATAAGATATACGTATACATAATAATGATGACGTTTTATTCCACGACCATATTCCATTAAGTTCTTACTCCGAAATAAGTATACACATAAATTTATATATATATACACATTTATTTGTACGAACATAAATAAAACATTTCGGAAATTCATCGGTGAAGGACGATGCGATTAAGACATTAAGAGTAGTAATATACAGTGCGGTGCCGGGGGACTCAAATAACCGAAAAAGTCCTTTCCGTGTGTCTTAATGAGCGAAAGCTTTTAACGTCTCAGCAGCAGCGGTGTGCATATAATATACATCTGCATATTTCGGGGGCTTTACTATCGTCAATAAATATACATATATACATAGAACACACGCGAATGTAGAGGGGCAGCGTATTTTTTTTTAATGCGTTTCGCTTCGCGGCGATATCACGCGTAAAAGACATTTCAAATGCGTTACATAATATAGTAATGATAATACAAATATAATAGTAATAACAATAATCGTAAACGTAATAATGGCGACGTCGGAAATTTCGAGGGCACTGCGACGGTGTAAAAACGAAAATGACAATAATAAAAAACGGAAATGACTAATTTTCCATCTGCAGCACTCGTCGAAAATGATTGCTGCGGTACCTACGCATTATTATTGTCGTCGCACGTGCGCCTACAATATCATTAGTATACTACAATAATTATCGAGTTGATCGTATGCATAATATACAACAATGCTATAACGTAGTTTAAATCTCGAAGAAAGCGCCAATATAATATTAAAATATCATAATGATAATATTATACATTATTATTATGCTCGTCTCCTGCAGAGTGGATCGTCGTCAGCCGCGGCGGCAGAGAGAACATGCGAATATACATCATGGGACATCAGACTATAGATATTCGTTCCAAACGAAATCGGTTGCGTGATCAAAAATATCTTGCAAAAACCGACGAATGATATTATTATTTTTATTATAACTGCATAAAATATACAAATTTTCCCGCACACATACGGTTTGTGCAGTACAGTTATCATAATATTAATATTATAATATCGGCGTAGGCGGCACGCCGGGAAATCATCGTCTAAGTCTCGTCTTGTACACACATATATATAAATCGCCTAACATAAATCAACCATTATGCACGCGCGTTATGACATCGTACAGCGCGGTCTGGCACCGGTCCCCACGTACCTCTATGTAGACATAATGTAATAATGTGCGTATTATATTTAATACACATCATCGATGTTAAATACGAGTTTTTAATTATCGTCGATGTTTTCGTCACGCGATACGCCACAATACATATCACACGATATATTACAATATATTATTATTATCGTTATGATAGATGGGGTACAATATTGTTATTAAGTATAAGTTGATATTACCTACATATATATATACGTGGAACTTCTGCTTCCGGTGCAAAAGAGACAGTGTCGTGCGACGTAGTTAAGCATTGTGGACACGACAGAATAAAAAGAAAAAAACCTAATCAAAATGGCACAATAATATTATATCATAGGTACCTATACTTAGCAACTCACTTGTTTTATTTTATGTATTACGTTTAAAAATTATGTCACATTATTAGTATGCAAAAGACGGTCTTTCGATAAGGTTTCGTTTCGACGTCAGTAACCGTGTTATAATAATATTATAAATTTTTATTTTTATTACACGTGTATGAATAAAACGTCTTTGGAACTTCACCGCCGCGGTTGTAATATGGATTTCGCGTTGCTATATAAAATATCACCATTTATGTATATAATTATTATTGAAAAACGAGTTTTGGAAAACGACTCTGCGTGCGTATCACATTTATTTCGCGCGTTCTTATTATATCGGCCACGACGACTCATATTGTCTTTACATAACATAATATTATAATAATGATGACAATTTACATATAATAATAAAATTAATAGTGATATATCACTATATAATATTCGAAGGATTAGTAAGCAAACAGAGATTCACAAAGAAGACTAGACGCAGCTGAAGAAAGGGTTTACCGGATCGTCTCATCGAGTCGGTGTTAATATAATAATAATACATATTTCGAAACCGGTTCAGCATAGTCGTCCGAAAAAATAAACTCGCACGCGCGCTCATATAAATACTCGCCTTGATGGTATATCGTGTTCGAACGTACCTGAAATCAAACGTACAACAATATCGAATTTTCGACGAAAAAAAATTTGTTTCGCTTCTTCGCCAGCTGGAGTTATCGTCTGGAAGCCGCGCGCTAGACTTATTCACGCCACTGCACACAAAAACGCGTCCTCCGTAAAATTACATTTTAGGTGTACGACTTACCTACCTAACCGTCGCATAAACGCACCCTCCTCCAATATAGCCACAAGAACGCACAAAAATATGATAGTATTATCGTCGTCGTTATTACCCCGGTCGTCGAGCGATTCGTTTGCGGACGAGATTACGGGTCCCGACGAGATTAAATTTTTGAGCCCAAGCGGCGGCGTGTCGCCGCACAGATAAGTTCCGCGGGGATTTCGCTGTCGTGTATAGTATATCATTCGGTCGATCCGACTGACTGCACGAAGACACGTTCGCCGCCATCCACCGATAATTAATTATCGTTTATCCGTGGCCCGTCGCGGTGTACGCAAATATATATAATAATATAATAATAATATAATTATGGTAATAAGTATAATATAATACACCGAAAATATTCTTAAACAGCGGCCGCGTCATCGGTTTGACGAATTCACCGCGGACACGGTTTCTTATCTGCGGGACGTCAGAAATTTGGACGTATTGGATAAATAACAAATAAAATCAAAATAAAGACTGCTGTAAAAAGAGATGGAGAAAAAGAGATCGGCAAAATTAATTCCTGTAACGTTCTTTGACTTCTTTCCCGGCGCGTGTGGAGGGTGAATTTTCATTAGTCCGCGCGCCGGAATCGCATATATTCTAATCCGTTCTTTGTGTATATATTATATCAGTAGTAGTAATAATAATAATAATAGTAATAATAATACTGCACGACGAGAAGAATGTCCGGACCGCCGCCGACGCGGATAGCGGGAGCCCGCATATTAAAAGTCCTGTTTGTCTTTAGGATGTTGTTCCCTTTCATTTCCGCCGCCGGCTATATATATTGATTCAATCGGATGTTTTGATTAAAATTTAAATACACAACTCCCCTTATCATTCTACTGGCTCCGATGGGGATTTTTTTCTTCTTCTCCACTCATTTAATCCCAACGTTATGGCCATTCGATAATAATTATGATAATTCCTCTTTTTTTCGTTCTGTCGGAACGTTTTTTTCTTTTCTCTTTCGCTATTCGTATTATTAGTATATTAGTATTACTTTTTTCTTTCATCAAGACCCACGTACAAGGAATACTGTACGTATACCTATATAGGTATTAGGTTTATTATATACCTACATATTATTACTATTTGACAAATTTTTTTTTTTTTTTTATCATCAAATAAACTGTTTTTCTTTCATCGCCTTTAAACGTAACACGCGCAGTAAAAATAATAAAAATATACATGTACTATTTGCTCTCTATAATGATATATTATATTCTTCAATTTAACTAATCCTCTCGACACCGTTTCGCTGCAGCGTGTCTTTTGTTTGTGTTTAATAAACACGCGCAAAAAATACTCCGAAAATAGTGTTGTTGCAATCTGACGAAATGAGGTGGAGGTCCCGCGCACGACAACGACGGCCGCCGTCATGCTAATTTGTTGAAGGGGTTGTGATATATAGGATCAACAGCAGCAGCAGCAGTAGCAGCAGTAACAGCAACATCACATCATCGAAATCCGATTCGGCGGCGCGGTGAAACAATAATAACCCGAGAAACAGCCTTAGGGCTAGAGGGTACTTCGTCTGCTGTGGTAGTGGTGCATTTTAGGCAGGCGAACAGCGGTGGAAGATTTTAAAGTTTTGCCCGTAACGCAGAAGGGTCGAATAAGTAATAAGTATAAGATTTCTGGAGCGAAACGCCGCGGCATCGTCTTCTACCCGCTTCTCAGTCACCGCCCGCCGACCCTCCGCCCATCATCTGTAGGTACTATACGGTATATATGGTGTGTGTTGCCAAAACCCTTTGGGGGCTTTGCCGTTTTGAGTTATGATTATTAATACACACGTATCTTGTGTGTGCAACGCGCAAAACTCCTTACGATTATAATATTAAACTCCAACGTTCCGGACCCGGGACCATGTTAATTGAAACGAAATCTCAGATTCGTCGGCGGCCGGTCGAGTGTGGCATAGCAAGGGTGAGTGAACGAGAGTGAGTGAGAGGGATCGAAAGAGAAAGAAAGAAAGAGAGAAACAGACAGCGAGAGTCGGAGAGGATTTAATATTAAATTAATCGACATAGACATACGCACTGAGGTAGTAGTGGAGGTGGGTACAAGTGCATATATATTGTACATGTATATATTATAATGTGTTTACGGAAAGTTTATGCGTAGTCTGTTTGTATGTGTATGTATATATGTGTACGTGTGTGTGTGTATTCGCAGATGATCGAAAATCCGACCGGACGGATTCCGGAATCAGCGGGCGTGTAGGTATACTACTCGTATATATCTGCCTGCAGTGGTAGTGTGCTGTTGGATCGGTGGGATACAATAATTAGGCCTGCCGTGATTATTATCGAATAATCATGCCGGAGGCGATAAAACAATGTTTCGCAATTCATTAACTCTAACAGCAACGTAGTACGTACGCCGACACAGCAGAGATGATTTATATTAAATAATATTAATCTCGTGTGTGTGTGTTTGGAAAATATAACCTGATATTGCATACTAGCACACTATATTTACAGCTACAACACTGGAAATGTAAAATAATAATATTAAATACTTTATAATATACAATACGCCCTTTGCACTGTTCAATTTTCTATTACCACTACACGTGTGCAATTATATGAAAT